GTGCAATAATCCTAATAAATCTCAAAGGCCCATGCATTTATTTACTAATAGGCTTTAATGATCATTTAGGTCCATTAGTAAATGTGGAGGGTGCAACGTCAAATTAGTACCATATTGCTAGTTGATGTAGATGTGAGGAGTTTTTTTCCCTATAAATATGTACCAACCCCTTAGGCAAAGCACACCAAAACTACCGAAAGGGGAGCCCTTAGTTTGGGAAATCTCTCGTGTAGTAAATTAGATTTTTCTCCTCTCGCCATCGCCATCGTCGTCGCCGCCAAGCTGCCCGACGCCGTAGACCCGTCGTCGACCACAAGAAGGCCCTAGGTGAGTTCGCCGTCTTCTCCTCTTGTTCCCTGTGCTCTCGGCTCGTCAAACTGTGGCCTCTAGGGCCCAAACCGAGCGCTCCGGGGAGCTTCTCGTCGGCGGTTATGGAGCTCCGCCACGTCGGTTTTCTTCTCCGGTCGATGACTCATTCTCCCCCTTCTTTCTAATCTGGGCCATCTAGATTCAATCCAACGGTCCAAGATCGCCCGTACCCCTTCGCCATGTTTATTTGCAAAAGAGCCCCTATAGTTTCGCGTAATATAACCCGCAGTCCATGGCGCACTTCCAGAATATGTTTTCCTATTTCGAAAGCGTAGTTTCTTTCTAGTAGATTCAGAATACGTTTTCTCTTTCAAAAATCATAAAATCCCTCTGTTAGATTCAAAATACGTTTTCTTCTTTTGAAAACATAGTTTCTTCGGTTAGATTCGAAATACGCTTTCATCTATTTACAGTTTTGCCACTAATCTTATTTAGGCCATAAAATCTTTGTTTTAACTCCGTTTTGATCCATTCAAGTTGTGTTAGATTCGTAATTGAGTAATCTACATGTTCATCCTACTATTAAATATATTTTCAACTTTTGAAATTCGAGGTTAGATTTAATCTATTATTTTATTAAAGAAAATCTTGTTTAATTCATAACTTTTTCGTTATAGCTCCGATTAGAGTGCTTTTCGCGTCTATGTGTTCGTATAACTTTTTCGTTATAGCTCCGATTAGAGTGCTTTTCGCGTCTATGTGTTCGTAGTAACATGTAGAACATTTTTAAACCTTTTTACCTATTGTTTATTATGTTTGGTGTATTGTTCTAATTTCTATTGTTTGCTTCGTGTATGATTGCATGGATGCTTGTGTGGTGTTTTATGATCATGTTCAGTCGGTGAGCTATACGTGGTGAATCTAGAAGCAATTCATTGAAGGTTTGAACTAGAAGAAGGATATGAGCTTAAGGCAAGTATAGCATGGGATCATCCTTGTTGTCCTATTCACCTTAATATCATTTTAATCATATGCATGTGTCTACCTTGACAACCGTAGTAATTTTCCTAGCTATTTGATATCTTGGATTCCTTGATACCTATAGGGTATTGTATTGGGTAGTATGATGCTAGTGCTCAACTAAAGCTATGATCTTGTAACTTGACTAATGGTATATGCAATAAACACTAAAAGATGCTTTTTAGCAACATGGAACAAGGGGGCTAGAGCATTGGGCTATTTTTTGGTGCTCTACATTCATCTCCCTAAGGACTTATCTGTAAGTGATCATCCGGCATTTACAGTACAACTGTGATGGCTATATGACTCTGGCTTTAGTCAAGTATGAGGATCTTTTCTAGCTTATTAGTGGTTACCTTTATGGCGCAAGAGGGGCTCCGACAGGTATGATCTTTGCCTGCCAGGTTGAGTGCATTTTGGTTTCTTGACCTTTTGCCAGTCACTCCTTGGAGGGGAGTTCATGCTTATTGATGGGGAAACCTAGCGGCCCTAACTTGTTAGACGAACCTTTGAAAAGCTTCGTAGTGAACCCTGTCGACCTTCCTTGGTAGTTGGTTAAGAGGCTCGCGACCTCGGGCGAAAGGGTAAATCACGACTCACAGTGAAAGTGTACAACCTCTGCAGAGTGTAAAACTGTTATAACAGCCGTGCTCACGGTCCCGAGCGACCTTGGAACCCTTACGGAATAGATGATAAACACTGATAATATTAATGATGAAGATGTTCACTAATGATTACTTTTCATGCTATTCATTATTCATGTTTACCTAGTCATGTGTTTATGTGGCTTGTGGATAAACTTGTTGCCACCCTATTGCTAAAATTATGACTCATTAAAAGCTAATCGCAGTTAACTAGTGTCAGCCTTTTGAGCCTCATGAACCCCATGTTATATTTGTTGAGTACGACATGTACTTACACTTACTTTAATTTTTAAATCTTTGGAAAAATCCCGGATCGGTGCCAGATTGCTAGTCTGGAGAAGTTAGGCTTGTGATCAACCAGTCAGTTGTCCGTGTGGATTGGAGTCTTCACCCGAAGATCGGAGTTGTCTTTCCGCTGTTTGCTGTATAAGGTTATATCATTTATACTAAGTACGTTATATATTGAGCATTATCAATTGATATTACCCTTATTTGTAGCTATATGTGAGATTTGATTTTTTGGGCTCACATATGATTCGTATCTGGTTTTATTCTTAAAACCGGGTGCTACAGAGCAGCATGCACGAGGAGCCACCACACAATGAAAGCAAAGCATGCACCAAAGAACCGACAGTAACGCGTCGTCAGCAAAGATGCATTGGGGCACGGCGAGCTGCATGCACGAGCCGTGGGTCACGTCTGAAGCACACATGAAGCCGCCACGGCACAAGCGCGCGGCAGCAGCCTGGCAGCGCAAGACAGCCTGCGGGCGAGCCGGCTCCCGAACCGTGGACGTCGTGGGCTACCGGGGCGCCGGGCTTGTAGCGTCGCCGCCGCCGCCGGGGCCGGGTGCCTGCCACTGGGGCTAAGCGCAGCCGCGCATAGGTCGCGCTCGTGCAGCGTCGGAGGGCCGAGGAGGCGTGCTGCCGTGCCCGCGAGGCTCGCCGAGGGGGAGGGTGCAGCCGGTGCCGGTTCCTTCCCCTTCCTTTTGTCATTCTGCGCCGTCGGCTCCTGATGCGATTGTGTGATGCGAGCTACCGGAGAGGCACGCGCACGTGTGCACGGGCAAGATGCCGTCACCGAGCAGGACAGAAGTCACCGTCGGCGGCGCAGAGACGCGCGAGCAATCAGCTGCCGCGATCGCGTGGGCGAGCACCGCCGCCGCTGCCGCTACCGCCGAGCGCTGACGTGCAGCCGTGCAGGTGAGCTGCCACCGCTGCAACAGCGTCACAAGACAAACAGCGGCACTCTAGCACGCGGCCAAACAGCGGCACTCTAGCACGCGGACAAGCTAGCCATGGCCATGAGAGAGGTGGGAGATGGGAGATAGAACTGACACGTGGGTCATACCCATTTGGATAAATATGAGACACAAACAGAGTTTAAGGACTGGAATAATACAATTTATGAGTTCAGGGACCGGAATAACACACCACCACAAAGTTCAAGGACCGGCCATATACTTTGCTCTTAACTTTAATAATGAGTTTTCCATCACATTAATGTGAATAATGATTTTTTCATCGCATGAAAGTCAATAGTTGTACTGAAAGCAGTTACCTCATTGCCTATGCGGGTCTAGCTTTTTTAGGAGAAATGAACCCCAAAAAAGACATGACTAAATACAAAGCCTGAACAAAACTTTTGCCAAAGTAATTGTACTGAAAGCAATTTCCTAAATAAAGATCACATTAATTGGAGATGAGGTCATGTTTCTCCAAACTTTGAAGAATGAATTTTCAATTTTGTCTGTGCCGTATAAGAGTGCAATCATGTTAAAAACTATGTCTTTAGTGTAAATGTTGAACATTTGTATGGTTATTCCGATTGAAAGTTGTTTTATACATTCATTTCATTCAATTATCTCTATCGGTACAAGCATAGGTTGATACTATATATTGCAATAACTTTATTCCATGGCAAACCCTTTTTGGGTGTTTGAAAGAAACATGAGGGGCGCATCCTATGGCTAATCACCAACATAAGAGTTACACGAAGGATGCAACCACTGTGCCGTCCAAGTATGCTCCAGTCATGCCTCCCTTGGGTATGAGAGCCAGAACAAGAGCTCCTCTTGCGCCCTCCTCAACCGTGAGATCTCCATTGTGGAAGTTGATGTCTGTGCTGACAAAGCCGGGATGCACACAATTTACACATAGTGTTGGGTGTTTCTTTGCAATGATTCTCGAATAAGCATTGAGAAGAGCCTTGGACACTTTATATGCTGGGAACCCTCCTTCAGTCGGCCACCCATGGGGTTCCAATTGGCCATTCTCGAAGTCCTTGAGGAACAATTCTGGCAGCTCATCTTCTTGAAGTCCTTGAGGAACAATTCTAATCTCTCTACAGATAGGTTATCGATGTTGTTGAGCTCCTTCTTAAGTTCCTCACCACTGGAAAACTGAAGCCATATAATTAAACAGATTAGTGTTTTGTAATTGCAAAATGCGGTACCTGTATCTAACTGTCGAATCTAGTTCTAGCATGGCTTTGTATCATTTCTTGAAGGCAGTGAATTTAGTTGCCCTGAGTAGTCGGCCATGAGCTGATATGTTTACAATTCTTCCGTGCGATGAGAGGTGCAGGAGAGGAAGATGCGCTTCTGTGACAATTTTGGTGCCATGGTAGTTTGTTCTCAAGCACTCCTCTGCTTTATCGTAAGGGTCTGTGGTGTGCCTCCTGATCCTTTCTAGCTTTTCCAGAGCATTCATGCCAGCAATCTATTTTCCATGCATGGAAAATTGTTAGTCTCTTTCATTGCAGGAGGTATCAAGAGGATAATAAATATATAATTCTGTAAGTAGACGTAACTGAAAGTAAAATGGAATTGCTTATAAAGTTACAGACTAACCTCTAACCTAAAAGATTCTGGATCGCTGATCTCTATTTTGCACCCAGCAATTGCTGCATTGTTGACCTGAAAACAATCAAAGCAGCAACTACCAGTGAATCATGATCAATTCCGAACCCTTCACATGTAGTCTAGAGACGTTGGAAAGGGAAATTATTAAGAAACGAAGGCAGTACCAATATATCCAGTTTGCCAAATTTCTCCCGGATAAAATCAGCGAGATGTGCAGCACTTGAGAGATCTCCAACCTCCAGTTGATGAAACAGGATGTTGGATAGCCCCTGCGCTGCAAGATTTTTTACCGCTTCTACACCCCTCTTCTCGTCCCTCGCTGTCAGTATTACCGTGACTCCTTTGAAAGCAAGCTGCTTGCATATTTCTAACCCAATCCCTCTATTCCCTCCGGTAACCACGGACACCCTGAACAAAAATAAAAGAAAAGTGTCCTCAAAGTTTTAGGATACACACAGAAAATGCCTAAGTTTATTTATCATATGTACTTTTAAATTGGAAATAGAATCTCAATAGCTTAGACGGAGTACTAAATGAGATCCAGAGCGGTGGATGAAGCATATATATTTAAGAAGATTGCGAGATGCTCACTCTTTTCATGAGCCCCGTAGTCCTTCCATGTCGGTGGATGGGGAGTATATCTTTAGGCCTTTTGTTTAGAAGTTTTGGGAGACAGCAGAGCTGTATTTGACGTACAGTAGTATTTTGGAGCTTCGCTTGTATTTGACTACATTAGTACTATTGCGTTCATCTACGCCATGACACTAATGCTAGACTCAAAAGTGACGATTCATCTGAAGTCAATTTTACAACTGATCAAACTACATATATTGCAAAGTTTTGGCTGTTCTTTTTATCCTGTTCGTTTAACTATTTTATATATATGTAAATATATGATCTTATCTCATTTATGTTGAAAAAACTGATGTGAAATTCAAACGTTTAGAATCTAAACAGATGCTCAGTCTTTTTCATATTGCCCGCGTACGTGTCCTTCCATGTCTGAGTGTCTGACGGGGAGCTGATCCTGTAAAGTCACTTTGTTTAAGAAGTTTGTGGAGACAGCAGAGCTGTGATTTGATATACGGCACCAACACCTGGAGCTTCGCTATAAATAGAGGACTACATTAGTACTAGGCCTCGTTTAGATGGATGTTTGGAATCAGTATTCGGTAATGTAGCACTTTCGTTTATATTTGACAATTATTATCTAATTATGGCCTAACTAGACTCAAAAGATTTGTCTCGTAATTTACAGTCAAACTCTGTAATTAGTGAAAAAACTTGAAATCTAAACAAGGCCTTAGTGTTCGTATCTATGCCCCTGTATATGATGTCACTCCTCTCGTCATGCCGATAATGTTACTTAGGCACCCTGTTTTGAATTGAATTCCAAAATTCGTTTTGGTATGACACATATAATCAAAAAACACTAAGATTAAATATTTCTAAATCAGGAACTGTATGTAACTGTGAATGTAAAAGCTGTTGTATGCAACTGGCAGTGCCATGTGATAGCTAAATGTTGATGAAATCAAAAATGCTAATTCAGAAAGTGAGGGCAAGATTAAATAACAATTGCAGAATTAACGCAGTTTTGAAGAGTAATTAGTCAGTCGATTGATTGACTAATTATCTACCAAATAAAAACAAAACGCTACAATGTAACTACAGTGTCCATTTTCAGGCGGCGCCGAATCAGGCAGCGAACTAAACGCGGCCTTACCAAGTGACGTAACCTTCACGCTGAAGTCAAGGCTTATTAATTACAACTGAGTCTAGTACTACAAAAGATATATGCAAAGTGCAAAGTCTTTGGCTGTTCTGGCATTTTAAGCTGGCCCTGTTCGTTTTAACTACTTTAATAATATTTTTTAGTGAATAAATAGTATTTTCTTATCTCATTTATGTTGTGGAATAAGGTGGGTGACTGATGTGACAGGCCATTCAAACGTTTGGTGAGGCTCCGGTTCACCCTTCATCTGTCGTCTACTTGGTCGTTCGCTAGGAGCACAGTTTTTATTAGTTTCTATAGAAGAAATTTAGGGGCTTTTCTAAAAGAAATTTTACCATTACTAGTTAGAGGTCTTAAAGAACCCTAGGCATTAATTATTACTTCCTCTATGGGTCTTTTCCATTGTAACACCCTAAAATTTACATGATTTTAAAATAGGAGAAAATTATTTAATTATTCATTTTGTGAGCATTTAAATTTAGGAAAATAATAACTTGGTTAAAAATAAAATTAAATATAGGTCTACATACATGTGTGTGCATCTATGCTGCTGTATATTTATTTTGTGATGCTATGGTTTGATTGGAATTTGCAAAAGAATTTGAATTTGAGTTTAAATTGGATTTGAGTTTTATTTTTTCTTCTCTCCCTCCCTTGAATTCGGCCCGAGCAGCCCAGCTCGGCCTGGTTTCCCCGCGTGGCCTGCTTTCTCGCGCGGCTAACAAATGTGGAATCTTATTACAATTTCTTTTTCTCATGTTAGTAAGTCATTGAGAGTTATTGCTTCACATTTGGGCAACCCAACATATACATATGAATATAGTGGGTTATGGATATAAATAAAGTATTTAATTCATTTTTTATATCCTACCATTATTAAATTAAAAAGGTGTCAATCCTATTTAAACTCCTCCCTTTTTTCCCACATTTTTTTATTAGGAACTTGTTCATTAACCTATTTTTGATATGTGGAGAGAGTACAGCTCCTCCATCTGATCCGGTCACCCTCGAAAGAATTAACAATTGAATACTCTGAATTCCAACACCAGTCGTTGTTCCCGTATGACACATACACCTAATCAAATAAACACTAACACCATTAAATATTTCTAAATACAGGACTACTGTATGTAACTGTGAATCGTAAAAGCTGTTGTATGCAACTGGCAAGTGCCATGTGATAGCTAGAAGTGCATGACTGAGGACTTGTTTTGTAGTGTGCTCAATCATGCTGCGTGGAAGTTCAGAAAGTGAGGGCAAGATTAAATAACAATTGCAGAATTAGTTTAGATACCTGTCAGTTTGCAAACGGTGAAGAGTAGACTTTATCGGTGCTCAGTCATGTTTGGATTGACTAATACCCATCAAATCTTCCATACTTCATGATGATTTTGCCCCAAAAAGGTTGCAAGTGAATTTAGTAAGTCTCTACAGCAAAAAACAGTGATGAAACACAATATCTGATACAAGGAATACCTACTGCAAACTCATGTCCTGCTCCTTTGGTTGCAAGAGAAGACAAGCCTCGAATACCTACTGCTAACTCATATCCTGCTCCTTTGGTTTATAATGAATTTATAAACATTGTTTAAGCCTCGAATAGGTTTATTCTATTTCCAAAATAAAGTATTTAAATTTTATTTGAAAACAAGTTTAAAACTTTATTTCCAAAATTTAGTGTTAACCTTCGGTTTACAAAAATATTCAAGGAGTTTTTCAAAACTTGATTCGGGTTAAAATGATTTTATTTTGATTTTCAAATGGAATTACAAAACGAAAAGGGCAAGCGCTCGCTCTCTCTCTCCTCTCGGGCCTAATATAGCCGGTCCACTCATCCCCACCCACGCCCCTCCTCCCTTCCTGCCTGGGCCGAGGCCCATCTGCACGTTGAGGCCAGGTGAAAGGTCATAATTGCTAGAAGATGGTGAATAGCTTATTAAAAATTTATACAACAACAATTAGCAAATATGTTAGACAATCAAACAGCGAAGCGAGTGTTGCGCTAGCCTACTAAAAGGTTAAGTCACCTACCACAATTCTATGATCACTAAGCACACAATTTGCTAAGTCACTCTACTAAGTTAGTGAGCTCTCAAAGGCTAACAAAAGAGCCTCACTAACCACTAGACTCGACGTAAGCTAGCTCTCAAAACTAATTACACTAAAGAACTTAGCTTACACACTAGGAATGTAATACAAGAGAGGATGGCGATGATTATACCGACGTGTCAAGGTATGAGCCAATCACAAGATGGAGCCAATAAATCAATCACAAGATAACCAATGAAATTCTCGGATAAGGTGACACAAGATTTTTTACCGAGGTTCACTTGCTTGACGGCAAGCTAGTCCTCGTTGTAGCGATTCACTCACTTGGAAGTTCACGCGCTACTGGGCATCACACGCCAAACCCTCAATAGGGTACCGCACAACCAACATAAGATAAGGATCACACATGTCACAAATAATCCACTTGCCTTTTGGCTCTCCATTGGGAAAAGGTCAAGAACCCCTCACAATCACCGAGATCGGAGTCGGAGACAAGCACCTTCCTCTACTCAACGATCCTCGCTGCTCCAAGCCGTCTAGGTGGTGGCAACCACCAAGAGTAACAAGCGAATCCCGCAGCGAAACACGAACACCAAGTGTCTCTAGATGCAATCACTCAAGCAATACACTTGGATTCACTCCCAATCTCACAAAGATGATGAATCAATGATGGAGATGAGTGGGAGAGCTTTGGCTAAGCTTAGAAGGTTGCTATGTCAATGCAAATGGCCAAGAGAGTGAGCTTGAACTGTCCATGGGGCTTAAATAGAGCCCCCCTCGAAATAGAGCCATTGGGCTCCTCACTGCACACTTCTCAGGGCGACCGGACGCGCTGGTCAGAGTGACCGAACACACCACCTTCAACGTCCGGTCGCTGATCAGCTACCATGTGTCCTCGCTTCGAATGTGCGCCGTCAGATTCCAACGGTCAACTGCGTCTGCGCCTTACTTAAGTGATGACCGGACGCACACCCACGATGACCTAACGCGTCAATGTCGCATCCGATCGCACACTCGACCGAACAGCGAAGGCTGCGACCTAACGCTCCGTGGACTGACCGGACGTGCCACCAACGTGGCATCCGGTCACTTCCAGAGAGCTCCCCGAGTGGCTTTTTCGTGACCTGACGCATCCGATCTTCACCGACCGGACTCAACCAAAGTCAGGTCTTCACTCGAGCCACGCGCCATGGCGCCACATCAACATATGTTAGCAATAACGCGCCAAACCCTAGCCCTACGTGTTCGATCGCTATTACGCGCCAGAGTCCGGTCACTGGCTGAAAGCAACGCCATCGAGCCAACACTGACCGGACGCGCAGGTCCAGCATCTGGTCCTGCGTCCGATGAGCTCCCCAACTTTACCAACTTCTCCACCCTTGCTCAAATGTCCCAACCACAAAGTGTATTACCTTGTGCACGTGTGTTAGCATATTTTTACAAACATTTTCAAGGGTGTTAGCACTCACTAGAACCTAAATGCATATGCAATGAGTTAGAACATCTAGTGGCACTTTGATAACCGCATTTCAATACAAGTTTCACCCCTCTTAATAGTATGGCTATCGATCCTAAATATGATCACACTCGCTAAGTGTCTCGATCACCAAACTAAAAAAACTCC